GAGGTTTTCAAAATCCAGGGGTTTGTCTGCAAGCGTTTCCTTCCTCCTTTCTCCTACCCCCCACTTTCTTTTTTTTGGTTCTCACCCCATTTTCTGCGCAGACAAAACACCGAAAATCCCGTTGCTCGGTCTTTCTTTGCTTCCAAACCCCACGAAAACACTTGCTACGCAGGCTAATAACTTAGGTGTTCTATAAGCTAAGGGTGGTACAAGACTCAGTTGGCTGAAACCCCACAGGGGGTGGGGGTATTCCCTATAATGGCCTATGTATTGAGGCTCTGCCTGAAAGGGGTATCATTTTTAGACTTTAGGTACATAAAAAGGGTACTAGGGATTCCACAAGCTGAGGTACATGTATATGAAAGGGTAGGGAAATCTACCATTTAGTTATTTTAAAGGACCTTTAAATAAAATGTTTCTGAACAAACCACCTTATGGCTATATCATTTTATTTATTGAGCACTACATGAAAATGACAAGAAGACTTCCTTTTTTGGTGATTTATTCATTATACAAGTGCGTTATGAAAGTATGTGAAAGAGGGACCTTTTTTCCAATTAAAGGTACGTGAAAGGGTTACTCTTCTGTCAAAATTGTACACAAAAAGGTTAAGGGATTGAACCTTGGGGTGCAGCCTGCCCGTATAAAACTGAGTAGAGTACCCCTCCCCCCCGGGGACCAAAACCCACCAGGTAAAAGAAATGTGGGGGCCCCCTTAAAACCTGAAGAAGGTCAACTAATTAAGAACTGAGAAAAGTGAACATATATATATCAGCATAAATCTTAATTTAATTAATACCTTTCCATCTTCTCACCCCAACTGTTCCCATTAGAACATCTGCACCATCAACAGTGTATTCTGCACTGATTCCAGCTTGACAATAACCATAATGATTATTGCCTTTTTGTTCTAAAAAAAGCAGAGAAAAACAAAAGTAAAAAACTTACAGCAGTACACAATAATGAGTGTTGGGAAATACAGTTATTGAAAACATGTGATTAAAAAAGATTTATAGTTGCTAACAGTAATTTTAGAGGTGAGTTGAAAGCCTATTAATAAACAAATTCAAATTGTTGTTGGATTGGAAGCAAATTAATTCTAGAAACAATTAATGACTCACAACAATTACAACAGACCAGCATATAATTCTAACTAATTAAAACAAGAATGACTTGTATTGCAGCAGTCAAAACACGATACACATTTTGCCTGACTACACTGCACATGTAATTGAATCCGGGTATTGAATTGACTTAAATAACTCAGGTGGGACTGATAAACAAACAGTGCAATAAACTCATACCATCATAGCAAGGCTCGCGAGTGGCAGTTGGAAATGAAAGGTCTCCCGATATAAGAAAACACTTTCCGAGTGGCCAGCGATATTGCAAGTCTCCATCAGGATTTGGAGGCCGACCTCGATAAATGTACCTAGGAGCACAAGCCTGAAATAGCAAGATGATCATCATGTTAGCTAGCAAGATACATTCACTTTAAAGGAGCTCAGTCATGGTTTGCACATTTTAAAAAGCTTAGCCTAAATTTTTCAAATTTGTCGTTTGCAATCCGTGTCAATCTTCGCCATCCTTGACCATCCTTGTTCCTTTATGGTTTATTATTATCTCTTTGATGTTTTTCTGTCTTCAGTAAACCATTATTTTCAGGTTTCCTTCTATTTAAAGGAGATTTTGTACGTGGCCAAAAAAAAAAATACAAAACACTGTGACTGAGCTCCTTTAACTTCAGCCTGATTATCACCATGGATAATCCCTTAGCTCACTCCATGGGGACTAAACGCCAGACATACCGTCATGTATGTATAACTGCCAACTTTTCCTAAATCAGATGCGTGTGATTATGTATCCAATCACCCTAAATAATTTCCTGAAAAAATCTTATTCTCCCCTATTTTATTTGGGCTCGCCATTTTTCACACTGCGCTGCACTGACTTCACAAACACTATCAATAACTGGTAAATGGTTAACTGGTAAACTGTAAGTGTACGAGTTAAAAAATAAAAAAATTTAAAAAAAATAAAGTTATTATTGGTATACAAAAACCTGGGAAGGGATTTACACTGTGAATGAACAGTGCCCTGCCCAGAACACAACACAATGACCCCTGCCAGGGCTGGAACCTAGGTTACTCTAGCTTAACCATGAGACCAGTGTGTGTCCTATCTAACTGAACAAGCATGAGCTGCCATGTATAGCTTCATCAGTTTCTTAACAAATAGAAAAAAAATCATCATGATGGTAAAATTAAAACTGTACCATTGCTTTGCCATTTGTGCCTGTACTGTGAACTGTGCCGCCGAGCCACTGTCCACTCTTCTCCTCCAGGTCAATCACAACTGGCTGATTATTTAAAGTGGCTGGTTCTGTTCTGACAGCTAAAATTACAACCAATAACAGGGGATTTATTTTAGTTGGAAACATATCAGTCCTCATAATCCATCAGATATATTTGCTTGCAGATGATTGGTCTAAATGGGTCACATGACTGAATATGCCCCAGCTAAAACTGGGGAATATCCAAGTGATATTCCCCAATTTTCAAATCTGTGCATGTTGCAAAAAATATTTGAACAATAATTAACACATTTGGCGTGAAAATATGCTCTGATATTTGTCCTTGGACTTTATCTCTTCCTTAAAGCTCACAGTTTTCCTCAAGCTTCACTCTTGGAAAGCTGTTCGTTTCTCGGAACAGCTTATGTTCTCAGACTAATATCTGAGAATATTTTCATGCCAAATGGAGGCTACTGTTTATATATATATGTTCATATACAAGTGACCTAATTCACTGACTTTAAGCTACACTTGTACATACCTTGAGCAAATAGATCTTTCTGGAGCTGGGAAATTTTATCTAATTTGGGCAAGGTTTGTGTAATAAATTTGGGCTTTTTAGTAAGGAGATGATGTAAGGCCATTGAGGATGAGGCTCTGAGGGTGATGGCTCTGGTTGCCCAAAGGGCAATTTGGCAAATTTTCAAATGCACCCTTAGCGCTCTTCACTTGCTTGACTCCTCTACTATTCAAGACATACCCGAGATTGAACAATTCTACATAAGTATTATATCTGTTGGGTTTTTACGTGGTCTTAAATTTCTGTTTGTCAGTACTTAAAGGTGCTATACCAATGAACAGCTACCTTTTATGCATAATCTATCACAGATCTAAACGACTTGTACTTACGAGTGTTATCAACAGGAATGTATGTACATGGTACACTTGTGCCAGTATATTCACATTTGTACACAGCCCCATATCTTCGTAATGTAGAACCATCTGACCTACTGGTTACATTGCTGAGTGGTGCACCAACTAATACCCTGTAAAATAAATATTGCAATATAATCAAACCCCATGTTACAAATAGCAAAACATCAGGCTGTGTTTCATCTCAATTTTACAAGCAAGGGATCACACCATTTGAGACAGGCCCCCAACAATGGGCATTGTCCACCTAGTACAGCAGCCATGTTAGGAAAGGAGGACAGGACAAGAAGTCACCCTGTCCACCGGGGGGAAGCCTCTTCTAAGCATTCAGTTAGTTGGGGCACAGTGTGAAAAACTGCGAATGAAAAAATAGGGAGAAGCGTAGCGAGAGAGGTGCAAGAATGCCTGTGGGCAGACTTAACAAAAAGCTCCTACCACCCTCTGAACTGAACACCTAACTGAACGCCTGAACGAGGCTAGCAGGGGGTGTCTTGGGACACTCTTCATGGAAATTCTTAAACTTAATTGAAGTTTCAGGGTGCTCTTTGGAAGCATTTGAGTGACAAAAAATACCATAAAAGTCAGCTCATTAATAGAATTTAATAATTAAAATTAATCAAGATGATATACAACTGTTTTGACAAAGGTTGCCCCACAAACTGATTTTAATTAACCAGGTATCAAAATCTATACTTGAAGCAGACATGAATTTAAGATATTTCAAATAAATACGACCCTTGACACCGCAAAATCTTATCTTGGCCGCAATTAATAAATGTCGTCCAATTTATATTTACTAATTGCTGTGATCGACGGTTCGATAGCGCTTTTTAAAGCTCAAGGTTTCGAGGTGCTGACAGTGCAGAAACGCAGTTGAAGACATTTATTTCCCACTGTAGACCTCCTTTCGACAAAGATTTATTAAGCTTATCTCAAGTTATCTGAACACCTTCGTTTAGAGACAAATCAAAATAAACAGCTTATAAATAAAACCAAATGGTCGTATATTAAGCTTATCTCGCAAAGCACATTCAGTTGAAACTAAAAGAAAACAGCTACAGGTCACGTTTTTCATTGCCTCTTGATTATTTTCTTTGGAATTATCTTAACACGCAAATCGTGAAAAATAACCTAACAAGGTTTCCTTTAACGTCAAATAGCCAAATATGGGATCGAAATACAATATAGGTATTTATGAGCCGAACGCGTCTCGCTTTACAGTACAGGAACTTTCGGAATGAATCAACTAAAGTTTTTCTTTTATTAATATTTTCACGTTGAGAAGAATGTTTCGTTCGCACGTATAAAGTGTACATTCAGTATATATATGTATATATAAATTTAAACTCAAATCTTTGACTGGATCGGAGGACTCAGTCCGGCAACAATGTAGACACAGTGCAATAATGCAAACCTACCAGTGTTTGTTTAGTTGTGAATGAAGAGCAACAGAGAAGCCAAAATATTCACTTCCTGCAGGTCCATTGAATACAACAGCTGATCCTATATCTACGTTGAAGCCACAAATTCCAACAGATTGGAGTAAACAAACTAACGCAACCAACAGCTGCCTGTTCATTTTTCGTCTTGATTCAGAGGGGAGGTCCACTTCAGAACTCTATATTGCGTCCGCCGTCGCTATTTTAATCTTCTCGATCTAAAATCATCCACACAGCTGACTAGCTTGCCAGATATAAGTCTAATAAGTCGTGATGCCAGATAGATATCAATCCGTCATAAACAGGCGGTGGTGACGATCTTGATGCCGGATTCGTTCTAATCCCTTCCCGTTCAAAGCTTTCGTATTTGCGGTTCAAATCGACAAAAGTTTTGGACACTCGAAACTGAAAAGTTCTTTACCTGTTGCCCGCGGAACAGAGAAGAGAAAAGAAATATTTAAATGGAATTCTTAATGACTTTCAAGTTCTTGTGTACTAAATGTTACAGCTGTCACGTTTTCGAGAGCGTTCCCTCGAGGGCACGATTTTCAGCGCCCTGCCAAAAAAGACAAAAACAAACACCCGTCCTCCTCAACAGCTGATTGAAACTGGAAGTATCAGGTTTGTCGTACCTCTCATACACGGTGGTAGATAGCAAAAAACTCTGCAAGTGAAGGCGAACAAGCTTTGTTGTTTCCAAGGTTGTGCTAGCAGAGGAGTATTTGACCACTGACGTTCATGCCCGCGGGCGGTGGAAGAGATTTCGTGACCTGTGTGTGACTAGTGTGACCTGAAGCTGAACGCGTAGCTAGTGCGAACAAAACACAGGCTGTACCAAGATTTCATTTTCTCTTGGTTGTACTGAAGAATACATGTAAGCCTCGTTGGCTCTTTTTTATCCTTGTGGAAAGTACGAAAACCCCGGCTAAATAATCAAATACTTCTAGCCAATATATCATATCAGAAGAACAGGCTAAAATGATTAATGAGATTGTTCTTCACGCAAAATGCAAGCTGAAAACAGGGGTGATATGCATTGTATTCCAACCCCGACGCATTTTAATACAGAACTTGACGTTTCGCATGCTAGTCTACATACATTTTCTTAAGTGACGTTACAATGTTTTGAAAACTATATAAAATGTTTGATAACTGGGCGGCTACGAAAGGCCATTTTACAGCAACAAGATTTGACGTCCAGGAATGCATTAAGATCTCGGATCTCGTCTCAACCCAATTCCTCCTCGCCCCAAGCATCCAGGAAGACTCGGCAGTGGCGGATCTAGAG